GTTCTTCTCTTGTTACATCTTATTTTAGTTATCAGTATTTTGTTTTTTGTGTGGATGATTACTCTTGATGTACCTAGATCTACCTTATGAAAACCAAAGATGAAGTTCCACATATCTTCGAAGTCTTTCAATTTGATACTAAAATTAAGGTATGTTGATATGACCGAGGCATGGAATATTGTAATGGCTAGTTACAATCCTACTTGGAAGAGCATGGATAGAACATTAAAATTCATGCACCTATAAACCACAACAAAATGGTGTAGCTGAAAAAAAGAATAGACATCTTTTAGAAGTGGGTCTTGCTTCTCTTGAGTATGAATGCGCCTAAGAAATTCTAGTCTAGTTCTGTGCTTACCTCATCTTATTAAATGGAGGCCGTTCCATATTCTAGGATGCCATCCATATTCTAGACTAAGTCTATATAAACTTCTTTCCTAATCGTCCACTGTTTAATGTACCTCCTAAAGTCTTTGGTTGTGTTTATTTGCTCATCTTTTAGTTTTGTACCGTACAAAATTGGATCCCGAATCAATAAAATATATTTTCCTTGGTTATTCATCTTCGCAAAAGGGTTACAAATGCTATGATCCAGATTCTGGGAAGAAATTTATCTCAATGGATGAAACCGTTTTTAAGTCCACTCTTTTCTTTCCCACCTCTCTTTAAGGAGAGAATAATGTAGAAGAGACGTCCTTTGTTCCTCTTCCTCTTCCTATTTTCTCTTAATCTTGTGCTCAGGATGACAATGGGGTGCATTTTCATGGTCTTGGAAAGAAAGAATTGAAAGTATATACTTGATGGAAACAAAAGGAAGTGGAGACCACTATAGCTTACAGGCCTTCAAGGAAATTGAATACCTTCAATCCAGGTAATACTCCCAAGCCCTAATGTGATGATTCTGATCTGCCTTCTATTGTTCGCAAAAGGTAAGATGAAGTTATAGAGCACACCCAATTAGCAATTTTGTTTCCTATGACTTATTCTCTCCTTCCTATTGTGCTTTTGTGTCTTTTGTGTTTTTTGTTTCTACTCCTTCTAGTGTTACATAAGCCTAAGTTCATCCTTAGTGGAAAGAGGCTATGTGCGAGGAGATGATGGCACTAATAAAGAATGGCACTCGGGACCTGGTAGATCCTCTTAAAGAGAAGAAGATGGTCAGTTGCAAATGGGCTTGCACTGTAAAGCACGAGGCTGATGGTACAAGTGACCGATATGCACGGTTAGTTGCTAAGGGGTTTACTCGAACTTATGGAATAGACAATCGAGAGATCTTTGCTCCTGGGGCCAAGAAGAACTCTATATAGGCCCTTGTATATCTGGCAGCAAAAGTGACCATTGCACCAAGTAGATGTTAAGAATGCATTCCTTCATAGGAATTTGTAGGAAGAAGTTTACATATTACCTTCACCTGGATTTAGGGCTCCTGGAAATTGGGGAAAAGTGTATAAGTTGAGAAAGGCCGTTTATGAACTAAAACAGTGTTGTCCAAAGAGTTGGATATACTCAGAGTCATGCTGATCATATTGCATTTGTAAAACATACTAAAGTCAGTACCACCACCCTGATTGTGTATGTGGATGATATTTTTGCAATAGAAAATTGTCTTAAAAGAAATTTAACAATTAAAGAGCTTTCTGGTGAGGGAATTTTAGATTAAAGATCTTGACCCCTTGAAGTATTTTCTTGGGATAGAAGTTGCCAAGTCTAAGAGAAATCGTTCTCTCAAAGGAAGTATGTGTTGGATCTCCTTAAGGAAATAGGGGAGCTCTGGACACAACTTGTCGATACTCCTATGGAACAAAATAACAAGCTCGATGCCATAAAGATGTAGTTATGTGCGTCCAGATATTGCGCATGTTGTGAGCGTAGTCAGTTAGTATTTTGAAGCTGCTTACAGAGTTCTTAGTTATTTAAAATCATCACCAGGCAGTTGTTTGTGAATCATGGGCATTTACACGTTCTGGCTTATATAGATGCAGATTGGGCTGGCTATAGTATGGACCGAAGATAGTTGGGGGTAATCTTGTGACTTGGAGTAAAAATCAATCATTGTAGCCCGGTCAAGTGTCGAAGCAGAGTATCATTCCACGGCTTGTGGTGCAGGTGTTGTTTTAATAAAAGATCTTACTATGTAACGTGGTTTTCTTATGAAGGGATTAATGGCCTTATATTGTGATAACAAGGCAGCCTACAGCTCACAATCCTATTCAGCATGATCGGACCAAACGTATCGAGGTAGACTAACATTTTGTTCAAGAAAGAGTTACCACAAGAGAAATTTGTCTTCCTTATGTAGAGAGAGAAGATCAGCAAGCTGACATTCTAGCAAAGGCTATTAGTAAACATTGACTACAAGTTGTCTTGAGCAAGCTGGGCATGCATGCACCATCTTGAGGGGGAGTGTTGTGAGGGTGACTATTGAAGGATTAGCCCTCATTATATTAGTCTCTAAGGACTCATTTCTCCTTTTAGTAAACATCGACTACAAGTTGTTGTAAGAAAGCTGGGCATGATTGATATTCATGCACCATCTTGAGGGGGAGTGTTGTGAAAGTGATTATTGAAGGCTTAATTCTCATTATATTGCATTTAAGTCGCTGAAGGACTGATTTCTCCTTTTTTATACAAAAGGACATTCTTATACAATAAGTAAATCTTTTGTAACTATTACAAATATATAAGAGCTGTTGGAGGTTGGTATGACCTAACATCACCCTCTCTTTTTTCCTCTCTCAACGTCATCTTCCTTCGTCATTTTCTCTTAATTTATTTCCTTCCTTTTTCTCTTTCTTCAATTATTTACCGTTGTATTTTAACTTGTGAGACATTTGTCCAATTACATGCACAAAAGTCAAATGTGTTTCAACTTTTTCTTACACATTGCACACCTTAAATAAAATATTCTAAAACATAAATGCTTTTGAAATATTCCATACAAGTCTAAATATGCTCTTATGTAGTTCCAAGTTTCGTAAATGGTCTAAAAGAAATGCGAAGTTCCATTTTAGCCCTACAAAGCTATACACTCTTGTATTTCTAGTTTCTACTTGTTAAGTGTGTTATTTAAAGTAGAAACTATTCAACAAGGTCATCCATTAATTTCTCTAAGTTCAAATCTTAGGAATGCCTTCGTAGATTTATTATTTAATGAACTTAATGTATTAACTAATTATTTGAGAAATCCTTTTATTTGGAAATTGGACAGGCATTGGGATTGAGGTGAATTGAGTTATCAAGGCTAGCGTACATAGATCTTGAACGTACCTGTTCAACAACTTATGATATGTGGCTTTTATCCAAAAAATATGCAAGACATTTCAATCTGAAGACAAGCTAGTAAATGTGCTTCAACACAGAAACTAGCAATGTTCTCTATTTGGGTAGTTTTAGGTCCATGGGCAAACTAGGCCAACCCATACCTTTGTTTTTTTTATGGACGAGTACCCATGTAATTACGAACTAAAAAGACTATATTTGTTGACTTGGTGATCCTTCAAAAGAAATTTAATCAAATGATTTATTATGTTGCAGGCTCCATATTTTATCTAATTGACATGTATATTGGATTTTGCAACACCTTTTGCTTGTCTCTCTTCCACATATAAGTACTAAATAAAGAAATGCAATACCTTGACATGGAGTTCCTATCGTATTTATCTCCTACACGCAGTAACATGAGTTAATTGAATAAAAAAAGTACTTATCACGTAGAAGAGATATATCTAAAAATATGGCAGCCTTCTTCTTGATGTCATGTCATAGGTCAACGCATACACTTGCTATGCATGCCAATAGCAAATGCAGTGTTGATGAAGTTGTTCCAATCATTTCATACTGCGCTGTCTCTGATAAATTGAATGAAATACTCATTTATTTATCCAAAAGGGAAAAAAAACTAAAATACTCAATGTTCTCTCTTGCCCTTTTAAGAGTAACTCGCTTCCTTGCAACCTATGTTACAAGGAAATTATCGCAAGAATCCGCATCTGACTTGGACTCCAAGAATTTGATTCACACAATTTGCTACTTCATTAATAAATTTAACTTACAGAATATAACATGTTTCCAATTTATAGACATGTGCCCAATAGTGTGGCAACATGTTTATAAATGATGGGCACATGGGTGAAAATGTTGGGCACCCATGTGCCGATATCTAGACTCAAGTTCTGTATTTAGACATGCATGTGAATGTTTGACACATCAAGAGACACATCTGATACAAATTTAGACACATTTGAGCTGTGTCTAGTGGCATGTCTGGTGTGTTGATACAAGTTTTGGACGCATGTGGAGCAGACACACCAAAATGTGCCTGATAATCATGTCATTGTAATAACGTCACAATTTTCTCTTTCGTGTAAGCCTGTTAATGTTTCCTTTATATATGTTTCTGAAACATTAATTTATTTTTTGTTAACAAATGTTTCATTTACAATCGATAACAAATAAGATGATGTATTTCCTTTTACCCCTTATTGTTTGTGTTTTATAAGTGCTCATCAATACGATTGTAATCCTTCTAAAATGAAACTCTAAGTGCTTGATATGCACTATTTACTTGATATAAATTATTCATAGAAAGATATTACTGGTATGCATACCGAGAGACACGCCATGAGGGTGCTCTCGGATCATCTTATCTCTGTAATCTATCACTTCTCAGTAATACAAAGTTAACTTTCTCAAAAAGAAAAAGATATTACTGGTATGCATGATGCAGTAAGTAATTTGTTAGATATTTGGGTACTTAGATGATGAAGATTCCCTGTGCTCATTTTTTCCATGATTTCCTAGGGGTATATAGACATGTACAAGGTGCTTGTGTTACTTATATTTAAATATTATGGTAAGTTTTAATGCATATTTTGGTGGAGCTTAGTTTGATAATGACCTGTTGATATCCATATGAAACACTGATATCCCAAGTTCAAGTTCCTTAATTTTGTCTTTGACTCTCTTGACCATGCGGTGCTTTGCCCTTGAATCTACTGCAGGTAACCAGCTTACAGTTACGCGATGACCTTTTGTCAATGCTGGTTGCTGGCCATGAAACAACTGGTTCTGTCCTGACTTGGACTGTGTATCTTTTGAGCAAGGTTTCCACAAACTTTCTTGGTTTGAAATTGTTTGCACTTCTTTACTCTTTACTTTGATGCATGATCTGTTTCTTTGCCAATGTACATTAAAGTTGTTAGAAGATGCTAAACAATTCCATAAAGTATTCAAGAGGATAAAAAATGTCTCTTTCTGTAAGTCACATGTAATAAGGAAAACACTTCACTGCTGATCTTCTAAACATATAAATGCAGATTGGCTGAATAAAAGTTGATTCATGATCTGTTTGTTTCCTAATGTACATTAAAGTTGCTAGAAGTTGCTTAGAAAAATCCATAAAAAGAGGATCGCAAAAGTTCCATTCTCTAAGCCATGTATAATAGGGAAAATAATTCACTATTCATCTTCTAAATATATAAATGCAGATTGGTTGAATAAAAATTGTACATGTTAGACTGATTCTACAATGTTGTCCTGATTCTAAAACTTTTTACATTGGAAGAAGGGACGAATTGTACTTTGCATTTTGAATTCATCTATGCTCAACATTTTATTTTTTAACAATTTTGAAGTATAGTTCATTTGAAAGCGAAATTTTGATGGGGTTCAAACTATTCAAGTAGTGATCTACTCAGTAACTCACATAAGACAGTCATTTAGAATTATCATTTTGATGTTCTGTGAAGTTTGAAGTGCAAACCAATGCAGAGAAGGGTTCAAAATTTTATTGGAAAATGTCTACTGCAGTACATAGAAGTCTCAGAAAGAAATAAACTGAAGAACAACTTTTTGGATACCAATTTGTCCTTTTATAATTTTACACTCCAGATAATTTCCAAGAGTTGGTTGTCAGGAAATGGCTTAATGGGATATACATTATTGAATATGTGTCCTTAATGCTGCTGTGTTTGTAGGCCCTGCAAGAGAGTCCGGAAAAGTCACCTGAGTTGTTTTTTGGGTATTTTAGCAGTGGGTTTCGAACTTGGGATGTGATGTTGCAATCTCAACATCCTAACGTGTCATACCTAAGCCTGGTCCACTATGCAGTGCTTCACAAATCTTTATAATTGGAAATGGGGTTCAATATCTCTCCAGTCATGTTGCTTGTTGTCTTTGCTTTTCTTTCCTTCTATCTACACCTGATGAAGTAGTGAACTCGTGAGAGTTGTCCTTTGATTTCTTTTTATGAATTTTTGGATAGGAATGATTACTCGTCGAAGGATATGCCAAATAACTACGAATGTTGCCAATGAAATTACACCTTCCAAGTACCTAAGCTAGTAGGAAGCTGCAAAAGACTCCAAACACGCACATCAAATGTTCTTCCCTCATGCCCAACATTATTTCGCATTGCCTTGACTATTGTCATAGCATTGTCTGAGAGGAGTCTCATATTTGACCTTAAGGGGTGCATGTTAAAGAAAATGCCTAAACCAATGCACCCTCGTGCAATCTAAGGCAATGTTGTCAAGACCAAACCGGTGACTGAACCGGTAAGAGCACTAGTCTGGTCAGACCAGCCAGTCTTGACTGGTTCACCGCTCATGCCGATGGTCTAATTAAAAAAAAAGAAAAAAATGAAAATTAATTAAAAATAAAAGGGGAAATTATGGAAAGTTCAATAAAAATTAGAAACATTAGAAAAAAAAAAAATTCCCATAAAGAGTCAACCATTCGATACTCGAACAACTATTTCAAGCTCAAAACATGAAAATAGTTATACAAGAAGCTCATACTCATGAATATAGACTTGGTAGCATAAATAAAGTAGAACACTAAAACTAAAACTAAAATTAAAATAATCATTTAAACTTAAAAGAATTAAAAATTAGAATAATTTTGTCCTACTATCATTCCCCGCTGATTGGAAAAAATTCTTCCTCGAGTTTAGAAGTGTGTTTGGATGAATCCAACATGAAAACCGCCTTCTTCTTCTTTGTTGGCTCAAAGATTAATCATGGTTGGAAGAAATTCCTTACGAAAGTGATCTTCATATGTGTAATGAGAAATTAATGTAAATTTATCAAGTATGGTTATCCTTGAACTCTCATTGAAAATCATGTAAGATACTTCGAACTTAATTTTCTAGTCTTAAAAGCTTTCTCGACATTTGTTTCATTATTCTCTGAATCCAGAGCGACAACAATTTGCAGATTCTGAGTCAACCATGCTTCCACTGCAATACTTTGATTCCAATGCCCTAATTCTCGTAAATGTTCCGCTTCTTTGATATCCTTAAGATCTTCATCTCTCTCTTCGTTAGAGATCTGTTCAACCATGAAATCTTGTTCATCATAAAAAAAAGGACCTTCATCGAAGAAGAGATATTCTAGTTCCTTTTCAAAAATAGGATCATTGTCAAAGAGATCACTTGGTTCTTTATCAAAGATAGGAGCACTAAATCTAGTTGAAGATTGGATCATTTTTATTCTTCTTCAAAATTATACTCTTGTCGATGCCATCACGCATCGAACCCATCTATGTAGTTTGACATGCCATCAGTTCGTTCTCAATAAGACTTGGAGTTTGATTCGTGCCATTCTCCATAAAAACCCTTACCATTTGGATATGTCTTCGTAGATTCCTCTTCATTTAGGGGCACGTTGTTGCTAGGCTCACTAGTGTAGCAATAGCTCTATAACCCTCTCCATCAAGTTGTTGATTTATTTGCGTAGTTAGATCAGATTGACATCCTTACGGCTGAGACCTCTACGACCATTGCTATCTCGAATCGTCTTTGAACCGAGCACTGATACCACTTGATGAGGGAATGAAACGTGGGAAATTAAATCGACCTTTTTCCTGAACTTCAAACAAGTAAAAATCAACAATTATAGAGAAAAAGCATGGTCATAACTCAAGCCAAGAAAAGAAGAACTTTATTCTTCCATAAAATAAAATTCATTCCAAATAACATAAGCATCCTAAAATTTGACATCTATCCTTTTATAAGCCTATGAAACCCTTAAATTAACTTGAGACCTAAGTAAACATTTAACACTCTAAAATACCCCTAAACAATAATAAAGGTCCACAGATACTTCTGCGAACATTGACATATGAACAGTATCCTGTGAACAGTACCTATGAATGGTAACAAGTGAATAGCAAATAAAAAATATAAAAATCCTTAGAATTCCTAAAAACTTAAAGGCTATGGTTTGTATAAGTGTGCAATCTTAAACAATCAAATTAGGGTGCTCCTCCAAATTTATCATAAATATAATTTTGGTGTAAAAAATTCTTAGGATGGCTTGAGAATCTATTTTCATCTCTAAGTATAAAATCTAACACTCCAAAGATGGTTCAAATTAAGTAGATTTATAAATACTTGAAAATCTTGAAAATGAACAGTCGAGATAATGTATTGCAAGATACACTATTTTTAGGAATCGAAATCATTTTTTCTTTTCAGATTCATACATCTCGATGGCGAAATGATAAATTAGAGGGCTTTCCAACATCAAAACAACCTTTTATGATGCATTTTTGACATGCATCTTAATTCTACATTATAAGGCTGCAACTTTATATACAGTTTTTTCGAACTTAAAAACATTAGAAAGTCTTAAAACTAAAATTAAAATAATCTTTTGAAATTAAACAAAAACTAAAAATTCCCCATAATTTATATACTTTTACGCATTGTATAAATATTATACATATTTTTTATTTATTGTCATGATCATCATCATGCCTTTTCCCAACTATTTGGGGTCGACTACACGAATCCTGGTCCACCATTCTGGTCTGTCGAAGGTCATACCCTCAATGGGGCCATAAGTTCCCATATCTTTTCTCACTACTTCCAATCATGTCTTTTTTGCACTACTTCTTTCCCTTTTTGAGCCTTCCATGTGAACTTAAAATTTTTTCTTTCTAAAATTTGATATCTCAAAAATTTTAATTTAAAACTTAGTATTTGAGATAGTTTATCTATCTAAAATTGGAGATAGTTTCTCTCTCTAAGACTTAAATTTGAGATTGTTTCTCTCTAAAAAATTTGAGATAGCTTCTCTCTCTAAAATTTTTTTCTACTTTCTCTCTCTAAAACTTAAAATTTGAGATGGTTTCTCTCTTTAATATTTCTTAGGCATTTTCTCACTCTAAAACTTAAAATTTGAGACAATTTCTCTCTAAACCCTAAAATTTGAGATAGTTTTTCTCTCTAAAAATTTTTAGGCACTTTATCTAAAACTTAAAATTTGAGATAGTTTCTTTCTAAAATTTTAAGATAGTTTCTCTCTAAAACTTAAAATTTGAGATAGTTTCTCTCTCTAAAAAATTTGAGATTTTTTATCTAAAAAGTTTTAGGTACTTTCTCTGTCTAAAATTTGAAATAGTTTTTCTCTCTAAAAGTTTAAAGTACTTTTTCTATAAAACTTAAAAGTTTGAGATAGTTTCTCTCTCTAAAATTAGATATAATCTCTCTCTAAAACTTAAAATTTTTTATAATGTCTCTCGAATTTGTGGGGGGCGTCGTGGCAGAATTAATCTTAATTTATAAAGTAGGCGTCTCCATTATAGGGAAATCTTGTTGGAAATCCATTTTTTAGGGTAAAGGCAAGGATACAAATTTATTTATTTTTTGGCTTGAAATGAGGATAATAATTCCAATGGAAATACTTTTCTACCCCAAAATTTCAATCCAAACACCAGAAATGTGTCATCTCCATGGAAAAACATTTCTGAAAGTGTAATTTTGGATATCCAAATGGCCCCTTAGAGAAATCAATCAAATCATAAACTTCATAGAAAAATGAGAGAGTTACTGTGATGACCAATATATATATATATATATATATAATAAAAAAAAATTAAATAAATAAATAAAAATTTATATACATGAATGACTTTAAATGATGGTCCATTGTGTTATAACATGCCATGGGACCATCATTCTCGTTTACACATTTTTGCATCAAAAGATTTATTAGGTAAGGAAACCAGTATGAGGTGTCTCAAGATGCTACGAGGTGGCAATCACCAGTATGAGGTATCTCGAGATGCCACGAGGTGGCAATCACTAGTATGAGGTGTC